GGCGCGAAGATGAGATGTATTATATATATATTTTTTTTTTTATTTATTTTTTATTTTTTTTTTATATTTTTTATTATTATTTTTTTTATTATTATTATTTTATTTTATTTTTTTTATTTTTCTTCCTTTGGATGCTTTTTTCCTACCTGAAAAGAGGAAAAAACTTTTGTTCCTGACGGAATGAAATCTATCGATACAAAGCCTCAAAATATGGGCTAAAATTTATGAAATTTTAAGACGTATATCTCATGTATCACCATTTTATAATTTTATTACTAAGAAAATAAGTAAAATTAAAATTTTGAATAGTTCTACCAATAAATCCAAATAAATCATAAATAATATAGAAAAAATATATATTATAATTATTATTTAAAAATGATACAAAAATAATGACTGAAATAATCTTTAAAATGAAATCATTACCGATCTTCAAATCTACTAATCCATCTCACCCTTAACTATTGCACTGGTAATTATTTATATACTAATTCAAAGAAGGAAAAAGATAAGAAGGGTAAGAGCAATGACAAAAAAATGAATAAGTTTCCTCAATAACGTATAGTGCTATGAATCTCTATGTATCCATTTCATACAAGATTTTCAAAAAAAAAAAACAATTTAAGGAGTGTAGAGTTATTTTATTAATTTATTTATTTTAGAAAAAAAATCACTACAACATGATAACATAAAGTATAAAATCATCACACCAATGACAAGAAATATGATATAAAGTAAAAATGATTTTAAAACAATAAAAAATCTACTTAACGCTTAGGGCATACACTTTTACCCCGAATTTATATTTATACAACCTATAAATTTTACATCTTTTATCTACGCTCCAAAATACTTTTGGTATATCCCATCTCAAAAAACGTTTTTTAAAAAACTTTTAGTATTAAATTTCACCATCTTTATACGTTTATTTATCAATTATCAATAGAGTAATATTTATATAAAAAAAAATTAAGGAAGACAAATTAAACTTCTAGGATTCTCTGTGTGTATATCAGGATGAAGTTGACTAACGTCAATTGGTGTTGCATCACCTAACCAAACTTAACTTTCATCTGACATGACATGAGCAAATCATATCATAAAAAAAATTGCTGATGCAATTGGAGGAATATAATTTTTAGCGTTTGATCATAAAAATTTGAAAAATTAATGTTAGTTTATGGAATTTGTAAAAAGTTTCAGTTTTAACTTCAAATTATGATTTTAATTTTTTAATATAAAATTTGATTCATAAGTTTAGATTTTATAATTTTAAAAAATATATAATTTTAGATTTATGTAAAAAGAAAAAGACTCATGATTGATATGAAGAGACTATTCGTACCATATAGAAAGATTTATCAAAAAATAGATTGTTAATATCATTGTTCATTTATTAGACTATTGAATCTTTGTAGAGTTGTGTGTATTTAAAAATTTGTAATAACATGTAATCAAAAAATTTATTTATTAAAGAAATATAAAGATATGTGATTTATTAATTCGGCGCGTTAAGATATTTTTATATCTTATTTATAAATTCTGGAATTACCATGCTTATAAAAAGAAAAAAAGAATTCTAACTTATGAAATTCAAATTGTATATCTAAATAAAATGTTAATTCTAAATCAATCCGATTTCAAATAACAAATCTTAAATAACAACAAATTTAAAATTTATAAATTTCTACGAGTACGTCAAATTATCTATCATATATCATATCATATATCATATATATATATATATATATAAAATAAGCCACAATACAAAGATTTTCATAGTATTTAGTTACATTGTAACTATCTTGTTAGCTTTCAACCAAAATGAATTCATTGTATGAGCTATTTATTACTCATTCCTTTTGAATTTGTTAATCTGATTTTGACCTGACACATAGTTTACGAAAGTAAATTAGATTTTGAAAAAAAAACATTAAGTAATACTTGAAGTTGTCCCAGATTTTCAAAAAGACACCTTAATTTTGCGTGTGTCCTATTACCCCACAAAACATTCAAAATCACAATAAATACACATTTTTTACACAATATTTCCACTTTGGACAAAAATATCCTTCGAATGTGCAATTTCTTAAAAACAAAAAGTGGGACCCATTATTGATGTATTGAAGGATGCTTTAGTAATTTTCCTATGATGAATTCGTTTTGTTTGTTGTTTAATTTTTTTAAAATAATTGTATAAAATATTATAAATCACAATAATTATTTACTTAAATATTCAAAAGATATAAAAATATGTAAAAGATCTAATTAACTCTTCAATTTTTATCGGTGACACATAAATTGGACAAATGAAATAATATATATTATTTGAAAATTACTTAAAAAGTACAATAATTTACAGTAATTAACAATAGAATATTTTAAAGACAAAAAAAATTGATTGAATCTCGAAATTTTATTAGTACCACATAAATTGAGAAAGAAGAAATAACCTTTATTATTTGAAAATTGCGTAAAAGATATTACAAATCATACAACAATAATTAGCAATTTAGAATGTTAAAAGACATAAATTTTTTTTTTACCATAGTTAACAATAATTAAAAATTTAAACTATTTTAAATTAATATTAAAGTTTGATTAACTCTTTAATTTTGTCTTTGTCACATAAATTGAAACAAAAAATGATACATATTGGGCCTGTGCTAGCACGGGCTCCGATGTCTAGTATATATATAAAAGAGAACCACCACAAAGTAAAATTCACTTTTAATTTATTCATTTCTAAAATTAGCCTCCCCCTTTCATGAAAAGTTGTGACTTTTATGAAAAATTGCGACTTTAATGAATAGTTGCGATTTTTATGAAAAGTTATGACTTTTATGAAAAAATGTGACTTTTATGAAAAGTTGCGACTTTAATGAAGAGTTGCGACTTTTATGAAAAATTATGACTTTTATGAAAGGTTGTGACCTTTCTGAAAGGTTGTGACCTTTCTGAAGAGTTGTAACTTTTTCAAATAGTTGTAATCTTTCTGATAAGGCATAATAAATAGTTGTTCACACTACCATTTATTGTCTATAAATAGAGGGATTCTCTCATTTTATATTTTAAAACAACGAAAATTCTGAACTTCTTCTTCTTCTTCTTCACAATTAAATATTTGTGTACTTTATTCATGTTGAGTGACTCAGTGACACCATTGCTTATGTTACATATCCTGGTATGTATTTTTACAGTCATTAATTTATGCGTATGTTAGTAAGGATAAATGATAAAATGTAATAATTTTTATTTTCCTTTACATTTTTAATCTTTTATATATGATAATATATTATTTTAGTTTTAATGACTGATAGGTTTTAAGAATTATTTTATATATTCCGTGTATTAAATTTCTGCGTAAAGCACGAGTAATTTTACTAGTTATATTGTAAATCCGACCCTAACTAATCAACCAACAATCGAACACGCATTTATTTGTAGCTCATATATACATATTATAAGCCTGGAGCACGTTGCTTTCTAAATAAAATTTTCAAAGAGGCAACTGTCCCTTTTCTTGCCTTTTGCTTTTGAACATATCTTATTTAAAGTTTTAATGTGATAAATATATATTTATTATTAATATAAATGAAGATCAACCAACTCTAATTTTGATTATTTTATTTATTTTGAATTTAATAAATTTTAATTTCTAAATTCGCCTCAAAATATTATTATTATATTATATCTTCTTAGCACAAAAAAGAGCTAGTGGCATTCGTATTACGTTACTATACTACGCAGTATGACTTCAGATTAATTAAACTTCAATGCAAATATTAAATATCGAGTGAAAAAAAATAATCACGTTATTGTACTATGTTGTGTTCCTTCTCCCATGATATCAATGTCCTTGTCACGACAAACAATATTCGAAATGAAATACATATATTAAATAAAAAAAAATAAAGAACCAAACATATCCGTTATAGCTGAGGCTGGATCACACCAATTATTGACTGACAAAGTGGCCACCAAAAAAATAAAATAAAAAAATAAAGTTGGCTGAATAAGAAATTTAATATGACTTATGTGGTGATAATATAAAAAAAAGGTTTACATAAATTTTAAAATTTAATAGTTCGTTGTATCTAATTTGAAAGTTATACGAAACTAGAAATATATTAAATATTTTTTATACGTTTTCAAATGAGAGAAAAGTCATATAACTTATAACTTAAAATAGAAAAAAATTTATTGTCATTAATTAATGCTCTATTAAACAATTAAGTTGTTTGATCAGCTCCAAACTCCATTAATTAATTACTAATTTATTATTAGTTACCCCTTATAATTTTTTTCTTCTTTTTTTAGTTTATCATCTATTGCTATATTTGTTACTGGGGAAAATATTTTAAATTTTTTTATGTTTGATAATAATTTTTTTATAAAGGAGAAAAATGACTCCAATTTAGAAATAGAGAAAATAAGTTCCGACGATTCAAGTTTATTATCTTCTCTCAATCTCACCAATCCCCAACTCCACTTTTCATCCCATTATGCTTCCGTAGTTTCCTGCTAAATCACATATAAATATTTTTGAGATAATATTTTTTTTACTTACTTACTAAACACTAGAAAATAAGTAAAAGTCCAATTTTTTTTCTTCCAAAAATACATTTTACATTAATTTTTTTTTTCTTCGTACCAAACAGGTATTTGAATTTGACTAATTTAAATTCACATTACCCGAACAAAAAGAGGAAAGTATAAACTGGAAAAGGTAGGGAAAAAAAAGGTCAAAAAAGAACAAAAAGAAAAGGTTAATAAATTGTGCAAGCAACAAAGAAGCAGATTCTTTTGTATAATAATTGGGTAATTAGACTCAAAAAAGTCTAAAAGGAGCACCAAGTTAATGGTAGTATTAGTATAACAAAGTGGAGGAGGTTAGGAGGAAGAAAAGGGGCAAAGATTCTAGAGAGAGAGAGAGAGAGAGAGAGAGAAGAGAAGAGAAAGGTAGCTCAAGTTTTGCTTTTGGGTTTCTTGTTGGACTTGGCTTGTGGCTTTTTGGCTTTGGTTTCAGCTTTCTCTGAAAGGGGTTTTCATGGAGGACTTTAAACATAACTTAAGGTACATGGGGCTTCTTTCTTTCATAAATTAATTTACTTTCTGTAAACTCTGCAAGTTGTGATGGTGATTTTAGGGCAAAAAAAATGTAATCTTTACTCCTTTGTGAACTAAAAAATTGATTTTTTTTTGTGTGTGTGTTTATATGTGGAGTAGAATTTGGGGGTTTGTCTTTTTTTTTTTTTTTTTTTAAATTTTATAATTTCTTGATATTATTTTTCTGTAACATTCTTGGTAATTGTCAAGGAAATAAGGACAAAACAACATATTTCATCATCAGAAAGTAATTTTAGCATCTATTGTAATAAAGTATCTATTTTTTTTCTGCCCCCTTGTGTTTCTCTTTTCTTATCTCATCACCATCTTGAAGAAGGTTGAAAAGCAGCAAGGAATTTATTTATATTTGAAAAAAAAAGGAAAAAAGGAAAAAAGGAAGAGTATTATGAAATCATCTTAGATGATAGATGACATGAACTTGTGTGTTATTGTCTTTAGCTAGTTAAAAAATTGACCTTTAGTTTGATTCCTTCTTGTTCTTGAAGTTTGAATTTGAAAGTCAACTCAAAGAATGAAATATCTAGAAAAGAAATTAAAGGGACCTAAAAACTAAGTTCACTTTTGGTGTTGCACCCGTGTCGGATTCTCCAAAAATACACTACTGTTGAAGAAACTTTTAGAGAATTGGACAGCGCACCTGTAGACATTTTTGAAGAGTTTGAGTAACATAGCCTAAAAATCCATTTCCCTGTTTGCCTTTTCCTTTTTTTTCATTATTTTGGTTTTCCCGTTTCTATGTGGTGAATAATTTTCCTCTCTCTTGATCACCTTATGACAGCTAAATGTGCAAACTCCAAATTTGAACTTACGGACAAATCTTCTTTAAATAATACTGATGACTTTACTTCAAGATGCTTATCAATAAGGGGACCTAACTGAGTAAATTAGATGATTTGCAAATTTTTGATGTATTTGGTTTTAGGTGGGCAATCTATGTTTTTTCTGGAGTGCTTGCGTAGCATTCTCCTCGGCAGGCTCAAAATGCCTCCATCTTGGATTTCGTTCTAGAATATCTCTGTTCAATACAATAAGTGTATGATGTTGCTTTCGCACTGCATGTGTTCAATTAAGTTAAGTTTCCTTCTCTTTCAGGGTGACACAGTAATGCTAGAAGCATGGGGAAAAAAGGCAGTTGGTTTTATGCCCTCAAAAGGGTTTTTACGTGTAACTCCAAGAAGAAGTCTGCCTATGTAAGTTTATAAAAGTCTGGTTTCTTGAACTTGATATTCTCATAGTACTTGTGTATGTCCCAGAAGTTGTTATCTTATGATGAAATAAACTAACTTCAATAATTGATGTAGTTTCTTCTTTCCTATTCAAGTCAATCTAACTTCTGATCCTGGTTGAGAATTGTGTTTATAAAGTGGACCAAGGGTGAACTATTGGAGAAATTCAGCTCTGGCCTGATTTCCTTAAATATTCCTTTACAAATCATACGAGGATGGGGGAAGAACTTGCTGGATATCTATGCTTCTAACATTATTATACAACCCTTAGCTAAATTGGATGATTGTTACAGGGATCAGGGAAGAAAACTGCCAAGGAAAAGAAGAAGGGTCGTAGAATACTGAGGCATGGAGAGTTCAAATCATTCCTCTTCAGAGAACCAAGCAGTATTGAGAAAATACTGGGGGAGGTTGATGATCAGAACCTACTTGTTAGGCCTCCTACTTCTGAACAATCTGACATTCCATCTGCATTCCCTGTGACACCAACTTCTCCAAGAATCAATTCACCTAGAGATGCATCTCCTCGGACTTCTTATAGGGCTACATCTCCTGGTGCCACTTCTCCAAGGATCGCCTCTCCGAGGGCCGCTTCTCCAAGGGTCATCTCTTCTAACGCAGCTTCTCCAAAGGTTAGCTCTCCCAAGGAAGCTTCTCCAAAGGCTACCTCTCTGAGGGCAGCTTCTCCAAAGGCTACCTCTCCCAGGGAAGCTTCTCCAAAGGCTACCTCTGCTAGTGCTCCTTCCCTAAAGGCTTTCTCTCCTACGGAAGCTTCTCCAAGGGCAACCTCTGCTAGTGCTCCTTCCCCAAAGGCTACTGCTCCTAGGGAGGCTTCTCCAAGGGTCTCTTCCCCTAGATCTACTTATCCAGAGCTGAGTAGGAACCATAATGTGATTAGCTATGCTAACAGACCAGAACCAACTTTGACGCTCCATCTTTCAGCAACCAAGATACAGGCAGCCTACAGAAGTTACATGGTAAGATTCAAGATAACTCCTTCATCAATGTTTTGCTGAAAATAGCCTTTGAGAATACTACTTGATTTTGTGAGTTGGTCAGATCTTGAGTGAAAGGTTATAGGTCATGTTATTGCAAACTCATGATATATTGGTAACAATTATGTCATTGTTGAAACAACTTTAATTGTCTCCCAAGTATTCATTTCCATGTCTGCTGCAACTATTTGTTATTGCCAAAGGCGAGCATCAAGCTGAGAGAGTAAATCAATTATGTGAAAAGCTTTATGCTTTGTTAAAGACTTATGGCTCTCTTAGTCTAAAATTTAGGTGCTTTTTATGTGAGGAAACTCCCTGCCGTGTGTTAGAGAGCTGGTAACAGGTAAACAAATTTCTAACCCTTCGGTTAAAGCTCTGGATGAGTTCATTCAGTGGTCTCTGAGAGCATTTCTACCTAAGAAGTTTGTTTCTACCACAATCAGGATCTTGTTATTGCATTTTCACTTGATCCGTAGAAATGCTTTGACCTTTTATAATTCATATTTTTCTTATGATAGTTTTACCTGAGAATTTAATCTTTCACGATTCCTTCTTAAATGCTGAGCTTCCTTAATATTATACCTTTCACTATTTGTTTTAGTAGATTGACTGTGGAACAGGTTATATTTAACTGATTATTTAAAAGGAGGTCACTTTCCTTGTCTGAGAACTCCATTTTTCTTTTCGAAATTTTGACAAAAATTAAGTGACTTGCAGATTATCTGAAACAGGATAGGAAAAAACAGAGATTAGAACTTTTGTATAAGTAATTGGGACCCCCAATCTTTTCTTATGCTGTTTTCAAGAAACCCATTTCCAGTTCTAATGACTTTACTGCTAGAGTAGTTTTCCTCAATGTCTTAATTATACTCTTGAACCGTGGAAACTATGACTCCCGGACCCTGTAGGACCTGAATTCTCAATTCTTGATTTAAAAAAAACATGGAAATACAGAGTCTGCATTCATCTGTCATAAGCATCTTGAAAATTCGAGTAATTTTGTTCTTATCAACTTGTTAGAAAAACTTCTTAAGTCAAAGAAAACAATATAGGATCTTATCTTATCATTGTTATTTCCCTTGTCGTGATTCAAGTAGGAGTGAATAGAAGTTCATTGCATCATATAAAGTTTTTTTTTTTTTAAAAAAAAGAACCATTAGAGTCCATTCCCATTTTGTCCCCTTTCTAGAGCAGTTCATTGATGGGACACAAATGTTTGGTTCCAAGAGAGTGTGTATCAATTGCTAACAAGTGTTACATATCCTATGTGAATGAACTTTGTTTTCACAGGCAAGGAGGGGTTTCAAATCTTTGAGTGGTTTAGCAAGACTTCAAGGAGTGGTCAGAAGCAGAAGTGTAAAGCGGCAGACAGTAAATGCCATGAAACAAATGCAACTTCTAGGTAGGGTTCAAATGCAAATTCAGTCAAGGAGGAGTCAGATGTTCCAGGCACTCCATAGTCAAGCATACATGAATGATAAAGAAGTTGAGAGCACTCTAAGCAAATGGACTCAGCTGGTAAGTTTAAGCTGCTACATATCTTGTGGTATTCACCTATTTAGTGGTATAGGCCGATGCCATATTTTGGAGGCACTGTTCGCCTACATTCTTCAGTAGATTTAATTTGGGTCATTTGAATTGGGTAGTTTTCCTCATTATTGGTGCTTTGATTATCTTGTGAAAGATTTGATGGATTCTTCCACTGGTCAAAGATGGTACGCAGCTTCTTCAACAATTCCAATTTAGGTTCTAGGAATTCATTTTTGTACATATATTGTAGTGTAAGGATATGAGAGTTGTCGAACAAAAGTTCTTTTCGTCTTCCAACATATTTTGAATTACGTCTGATGTTAAAAAGGAAATTTTGTTTTAGACTGAAGCAGGTAACCATGATGATTGGAATAATAGTATGCTAACTAAAGATGAGGTAGAAGCAAGGCGGCGGGAAAAAGTGGAGGCAGTCATGAAGAGGGAGAGAGCAATGAGCTATGCATATTCTCACCAGGTACATTAGACTTATGTTCTTAAGCATGTAAAATCTGTGGTAACCATTGCGTAAATGTGCTTTGATAATGCAGAAATGTATCATTTTGTTTCATGCTTATTGTTGACACCCAATTTTGGCCTAACATTTTAAAGATTCATACCTTTTAAGTTTTATTAATTCAATAGTACAATATACATTTTTTATAATTTTAAATAAGTTCATCGATTCTTATCCTCATTTCTCAAAATTTAGATTTTTATGAGTTAGTTTTTTAATTACATTATTTTTTGTAAAAATCAATTGAATATGTTATGAATATTGTGTCTTTGATTAAATCATTATTTTATGGTAAATTGCATTTTTTTTACATGCCATTCATTTTATTCATTACATTTGTTAAAATTCATTTTTTATTTGTTACTTTTATTTATATTCATTTTGATGTTTTTAGCGCGGTCTAGAAATACAGTTAAATGCATAAAAGATTTGCATACACAGATATTTTATTAGCTAGTGGTTTTAGCCCACGGCTTTAAGATAATGGTATTGTACTAAGGCGGTTTTCAATTTTATATTTAAACAATTTCTTGGTCATTAAGTCAGTGGTGGTGGATAAGATTTTAGATAATGAGTGTAATTTTCAGATTTTTTAGTCTTTAAGAAATTTTGTGTTCATATTTTTTCGGCAAACTTTTCGCCGGAGCCCCCGCCTAGTCCACCACCAAAAGACCCCAACCCATTTAGCTTTTTCCTTGTTATTTTCGGATCTACCGGAGGTTCCAACTCTTGCAAAACCCCATTTGGTTTTATCTTTTTTGTTTCTCTAGCAAACAGACCCCACGGGTCAAACTCTTCTTCTTCCTCACTGCTATCCCTCTTCTCCGATGAAACCCATGAGCTCCGACCACCATTGCTCCTCCACCCACGAGCTACCAATGATACCATACAACCACCAAAACGAAGTAAACCAGAACCACAACCACAACCCACCTTTCTCTCCATTTCTTCCTCCACGCCGGAAATCACCAAACACCCCCTTTCTTCCACCTGAAATCAGGCGAGCAATTCTGTTTACATCCCTACTTTATTCATATAAGAAGAAACATCGTCGTGACTCAAAAAATAATCAATTAATTCAATTCAATTGAATTTAAAAGAATTTTAAGAATAAACGAATTTTAAGGGAGTCGCCACCTAATTTTAGGAAACCAATTAAATGATCTACGAAACCAATTGATTCTAGGTAAGGGTTCAAGTAATTTCGAAGGAAAGGTGTTAGACATCCTTTAAAATCCACAATTGTGGGTCCCGACTCCCGACTGAATTCATTTTTTCAAATTGAGGAGGAGATAATAATAATATACAACTATTATAAAAATGCAATATACACAAATAATAAAATAAAACTATAATATGATAAACTGCCTAAGCTTGCCTTACGTCAATTAAAATAATGAATAAATAATATAATTCGAACTTCGTTCGAATAGCTTCAATGGGAAGCAACTATGGGTACCTATAAAGATAATGAATAATAAAAGAATTTAAAATGTTACCTTCTCAAAAATAAATAAATAAAAGAAATTTAAAAAAATTCTAAATTACACCTCCAAATCTGAAAATCTTATTCACCATCACTAACTTAATGACCAAGAAATTCTTTAAATAGAAAATTGAAAACCGTTTTAGTACAATACCACTATCTTAAAACCGTGGGCTAAAACCACCGGTTATAAAATATCTGTGTATGCAATCTTATCCGTATTTGAATGTATTTCTAGACTATGCTAAAAACATAAAAAATGAATATTAATAAAAGTAACAAATAAAATAAATATTAATAGATGTGACGAATAAAATGAATGACATATAAAAAATGCAATTTCATAAAAAATAATGATTTAATCAAAGATACGATGTTCACAACATATTCAATTGATTGTGACAAAAAATAATGTAAAAAATCCCGACATTTTGAGAAATAAGGATAAATATCGATAAACTTATTTAAAATTATAAAAATGTATTTGAACTATTGAATAAATAAAACTTAAAAGTTACGAATTTTGAAAATGTTAAGCCAAAATTGGGTGTCAACACTTGTCACTTCCTTTATGTTGTACAAATCCTGGTATTAAGTGCATCATAACAATTCCTAACTGTTTACGGCCAAGTTGTTGAGATATTTCTTTAGTGGTTCTCTTTCTTACCAAATCTTTTATCTATTGTGAATCCTAGTACTAAGTGCATCATAATGATCTCTCTGTTTGTTGCTTTTGACTAATCTTTCAAAGATTATCAAATTAAGATGCACTTGTGCAAATTACCACAAACGTCAAAACTTTCAATTTTCTTGTTTCAACTTCACATTAGTGATTCTGGCAATCCGTTAAGGTTTACACATAATATCTTTCAAAGATTATCATTATTTGTTATTCTTGGCCAAGACATGTTGACAAACTCAATACTTCTGCTAACCCTATATATGGCTTACCATGTTGCATACCTCTTTTTAATAGTTGTGGAGAGGCAACCCCAAATCAGCTACGGACGTCCGAACCAGTGGAATTCCTTGGTGGTGGAACTGGTTGGACCATCAGCTACTTCCAGGAAATGATTCCGAGAGCCAATCTGCTGTAAAAGACGTCCATTCAACACCATCAAGGGCAATATCGGAACACAAGCCAAGTCCATGGCGTCTAAGTCAAAACTTCAGACACCTCCATTTGGATTATGACAGTCATGAATCAGTTACACCAAGATCAACTAAGTCTGCAGTTCCATTAAGGGGAAAACTAATGCATACTCCCAGAAGAACATCATCACCAATGAGCAGCTCGAGCGTATCAAAGTATTCAAGACGCCGTGCTGCTGATTCCCCTTTCAATCATTCCATGAAGGATGACGATAGCCTCACGAGCTGTCCTCCTTTTTCAGGTCCAAGTTACATGTCACCAACCATCTCAGCCAAAGCTAAATTCAGAGGAAAAACCATTCTTGAGGAGAGAAATATAGGTACCCCATCAAACAGCTCGAGGAGGAGGCTGTCGTTTCCATTGACTCCAAGTAGTACTGGATCCGTCAAGTGGAACAAAGGGTCTGGAAAGGATGCTGCTTCTTTAAAGGAACATGAATCTATGGGAGATCATATGAGTGTGCATTCTACTGGTTCGACGCCCACTGTAGTTGGGAGGAAACCATTTCAAAGATTTGTGTAATTTTGTTCCCTGTATGTCCATCTGTATTTAGCTCTGAAGGTACCTATGTTTCTTTTTTCTTTTCTTCTTTTTGATGTGTATTTATTGGTGTATTTTGTTAACAGAGCACTAATGTAAAATAATTAAGTGTGAACATTCTCTTGTTTGTTAGACTTCTCTAGTGAAGGAAGAAAGGATAATTAGTATATTTTTAAGTTGGATCTCCCTCTGCTTGTACTCTTTTATGGTAAATCAGTTATGGTGGGGAAGTGGTGACTTAATGCTAACTTTTACGTGGTCACCGATGGATTTCGAGTCATTTTGATGATTCATGTGAAGATTATCATATTTGATCTTCTTAGCTGCCTCTTCAACTTTTTTCTTATTGTTTATTCCACTTGTGCCTTATTTTATAACAACTACATCTTTAAAATCTTTTTTTTCTTGACATTTTCCTCCTTTTTTTGTTAATTTATGTACATGTAATCTAGTATCCTTATTCACTAATATATAACTCCCACAAAGTCCTTTGCAATTCTAACGTTACTTTTTCTCATGCCTTTTTGGTGTTCTATACTTGGGAATTTGAAACTAACTTTCATTATGAATGAATAATGCAAATAGTTCATTAAGGTCCGGTAAAAGAAAGTTGTCTATAAATTATGAAGTAAAAAGTTTCGGTTATTAATTTCAGATGTTTTACGTAGTGACATTTCAATTATAGATATTAATCTAATCCAATTAGAATGCTTGGTACATAAGCAAAGTATTGAAAATTGGTTTTATTCTTTCTATTTTAACCATTTGGGAGATTCATCTCTCCACTTCCCACGTTGAGCTTAGAAACTCGGTCTTTATTATTAAAAAAGAAAGATTTTAGCCATCCTTATCAAGAAAGGAGTCTCATCGCATATCTGATTCATGAACAGAGGATTCAGTTACGAAAAAAAATAAAAAAGTACATTAATTCATGAATCATCACAAAAAATCTATCTTTCTAAATAGAAATCAAAATAAGCATATGCCCAATTTGCAAGTAGATTTTTTCAGCATATACCCAACTAGGTAAATTACCCGCGCTTCGCACGGAATTGAACTCTTTTATTAAGCTTACATATGATTATTCAGTAATATCTGTATTTTTGATACATACTCTATATTGTCAATAACATTTTATCGTAAGGCAAATCATTCCTCTGAAATCTTAAAGTGCTATATTAATAACATAAGCATAAACTAATGACTGTAAAAAAACATACCAAGATCTGTAACAACAGAATGAAACAGAAAGAAAAAAATTGAGCCCACTGAATACACAATGTCCCTTTAAGGAAATTATTCCCCTCTAGTACCGAGGTTTAAAGGAGGATCAACGATTCTATTCACCAGTGTATTGATACAAATACAATGGTGTAGTAAGTCACTCAACAGGAGCAAAGTACACGAATATTTATTTGTGCAGAAGAAGAAGAAGTTCAGAATTTTCGTTGTTTTAAAATGAGAGGAAATCCTTCTATTTATAGACAACAAAGGGTAGTGTCAATAAATGTTTATAGTGCTTTATCGGAAAGGTCACAGCTCGTTGGAAAAGTTACAACCCTTCGGAAAGGTAACAACCTTTCATAAAAGTCACAACCTTTCATAAAAGTCATAACTTTTCATAAAAGTCGCAACTCTTCATAAAAGTCACAAGTTTTCATTAAAGTCGCAACCCTTCATAAAAGTCACAACGTTTCATGAAAATGCTAATTTTGAAAATAAATAAATTTAAAAAGAAATCTTGATTTGTGATGGCGCCACGTAGGCGGGCCTAGGGTTCTCTTTTATATATAAATATATATGATATGATTTGCAAGTAGATATCATGAAAAAATAACCATATACCCAATTTGCAAGCAGATATGAAAAATATTGACTTAGGAGGTTTTCAGTTCATTTCGTGCATTTTTAAATTCCAATTTTTCAATTTTATGCTTCGTTTGATTTTCACTAGCAAAAAAAAAATATGTGAATACAATATATTTGAAATAAATTACATCCAATTTGATCGATATATATTCGAGTGCACTAGAATACATGTATCTGGCAAAGTAAGTAAATGTGGTACGAAAGGTAATTTCGAAAATGGGAAACTTAAGTGAAGACAAGTAACTAGTCCTTAAACTAGTCTGATTTGTGTTGTTAGCTTGAACAAACATTTTGAAAAATTAAAAATAGAAAAATTACGTAATTACACGACTTAAGATACCATTATCTCTAAAAATCTCTACCATTAATTACAAAAATTCCCTCCCCCGCTCTCTCTTTTATCATGTGGATACATCGGCTTACCTCTATCAAATACATTACAACTTTGTTTGTGTACAATTGTTTCAACTAAATTGTATGAATCTTATTTATAGTTATATGAATACATAACTTATGTACTATGTAACGGACGAATGAGCAATGTACTCGCGAATTTTGAAAAAAATTTAAAAATTATAGTTCAGAAAACTTTGAGGTCTCGAAATAAATATGATGTAATTAGCGTCCAAATTGTCATATAGTTTATGCTTCAAAATAACTCTATGATGTCCGTGCGGATGGGCTGCCCGCCCCATATGTAAAAGCGGCCCAGTCCAAAACCCAAAATAAATCTCTCTTCTTCCAACATTTTTCTTCAACACCAAACAAGCCCTGCTGATTCCTCCATTTTCTTCAGCAAAATCGAAGTTTGCCCTATTATTTTTCTTCTTTTTCCCACTGTTCGCAGTTTGCTAGGTCACAGAATTATTCGGGTAAGTCATGATTTACTTGTTTTAGGTCTTTGAATTTTTCTTTGTGATTTTGTGTTTTATGAGTTAATGATGATTCCTAACAATTAGGTCTTTTGCAAATCATCTGGTCGTTTTGTGGTTAATAAAGTTCAAACCTTGTGGTTTTTGCAGTTTTTTTGCTGTAATTTGCTTCCCCGGGTTGATTTTCTTGGATTTAGTTTACTGAAGGCTATGCAACTGGTTTCTCATGGGTTTTACTATATTGTTTGCCTTTTGATTTGTTGATTTAGGTTTAATTGGTAATGATAAATATCCATAGTAATTTGTAGAAGATGCATATTGCAGATATATAACCCGTGTGTGCTAGTGTCAAGGAAAACATCACTTGTTTTAGGGGTAAATGGAGATAGATCACTAAGTTGCTTGCACTATTAGTACATTGAGCCTTTATTATGATTTATGAAGGATTAAGTTAGTGGAGATTTTTTTTATATTTGCTAATGCTAAAGCTGCATAATCTTGAGATGAGATGCTACTTAAGGGGGTGGATTGGGGGAGTATGATCACATCATTTGCCTAACATTGGGGGATATTCTAAGTTTCTATTCTAATAATCTTTATCCAAGTTGTTAATAGCTCAATTTACGATCTCTAGTTTGTGTGTCTGTAGGAACAAGAAGAAACATTATATGTGACAGGTAAACCATTCAAACAATATGTTTTTGTTAACGTATTTTAGAAAACATTAGTATTTATTCACTTGGTTCAGATAACATTATACTTTTATTCGGGAGACAACTAAAGCTTATGCAAGGAAGATTTGATATTTTAAGAAAAATTAATAGTGCCTATTCAACAAGGCAAGGAAAAGAAAAGAGCAATGGTTAGTTATAGATAGAGCTTCAGCTGATAATAAACATATTTAGGGGTGGGGGGATGCAGAAGGAGGAGGAGAATAGGAAGGACAACTCATTTCCAAAACCATTTTTAGGACTAAAATAAGCTTTGAGGTATATCGTAAAACAAGTTAGAATCCAAAATTTGTGCTGATTTTGTTCCGCACGTTTTCATCATTTGGACAATATGTATTAATTCTGGGTTCCATTGTGACCCCTAGTGGTGTACGGATACTAGATAATGACAACCATTGAAGGCTAAACTGAAATCTGGGAATACTGCCAACAAATCTAAGGACTTTGTTCCTGAGGAAATGTATTTGGTAGATGGAATCATTTATATAGTATTTCATATTGGCTGTGAGAGGTAATATCATGGTACATATTGTTGAAAGTTTAGTCAATTGGTCTTCTTGTGTTTTTACTGAATATCGAATAGGGGTCTTGTTAATGGATATGAGAATGATTTTGGAGGCTTTTGGAGAAGACATTACAGGAGAATCATGTTTTGACGTACCATTGTTTTCGTGCTCTCCCTTGATCAAAAGGAAAAGTTGTTTTCCACTTCTCCCTGTTAGTTAATTTTCTTCTTTGCTTCCATGCAATTCTAAGCCCCGAGAAGTCCTAGCTTCAGTTTCCCTTCCAAGCAAATGTTTTCATTTGTGTTTCAATTATGCAACTGTATTTCTTGGAGGCTTTTACTAATAACATGAATTCTACTGTCCGTTTGGTTTCTCTTTTGCCCTAATAACATGAATTCGTAGAGATTACCTTTGTCTTGATACGGCGGGCTTTGATATTTGATTCTTTCATCACCACTATTTGTGATTGTAGTTGCTGATATAGATATGTTGTTTGACATAGTCTATTTTGTGTCTCAGCGCTATGGCTGCTAGAGCTGAAGAACCAATCAATGAGCAAGCAGTTGCCAACGTCTACAGTTCCATGAGGTCTGAGATCACCCAGATTTACTCTAAAATTACGGAACTAGAAATGGAAGTTAGTGAGCACTCACTCGTGATCAATGCTATACAACCACTTGATCCTGCAAGGCGGTGTTATAGGATGATTGGAGGTGTTCTTGTAGAGAGAACCATCAAGGAGGTCCTTCCTGCTGTTCAACGCAATAAGGAAGGAATTGAGGAAGTGATAGCTCGACTGAATGAAGCCTTGGAGAAAAAGAAAAAGGAGATTTCAGACTTTGAGGCCAAGTATAAAATTAGAATCAGAAAACCTGATGCTGAAGTAAAGGAGGAAGGTGGTCGAAAGGAAGGCTCTGCACAAGGAGTCCTTGTTGGTCCTGCTGGTTCAAATGAATAGACCTATCTAGTTTTCAAATTCCATTTTGAGGTACTTTGTTGAATATGATCAAGGAACTATAGTACTTTAGCATCATCTTTAGTGTGTGATCTATCATGTTCATTTATTTTTCCATATCAGAGGTCTTGAGACCATGCTTCGTGCCTTGGCGGTGTTTTAACCAGACGATGGTGACACTTTGGGAATCTTAATTTTATCTCCTCGAACATTAGTCAAGTGTTTCTTACCTGCTGAGACTTG